CTGAACGTTGAAGCAGTTGTACACCTTCAGGTAGGACTTGTACTGCTCGAGGAAGGACTGCAGCACCGGCAGCGCCCGGGTCATTTCGCTGTCGCTAAGAGGAGAAGCGGTGGTGACAGTTTTCGGTTCTAGTTTACTCAAAACCGGAGCTTCCTTTTCCTGCTGTTGACTTCCTCCGGGCATCTGCTGCACCGCCGCCGCCAGATCGGGCATCAGCGGGCTGATCATTCTGAGCAGTGCTTCCGCCGGTGATGAAGGCGCATTTGCAGCCGCTTCGGGATTGAGCAGTTTTGACAACTTCTCCTTGATCGGATTGATCGGGTCGGCGCGCTCGATGACGGTGAAGCGAGGCCTGGGTTGAAAAATGAAACCATAAGATAACTTTCTTCATAAAAAACTCCAAACTTACATCTCCTCCACCTTCAGCGAGTATCCCCACCTCCGCAGAAAGTGATTACAGTTCTCCTCAAACTGCTTCACCACGTAGTCCAGCTTATTCTCCAGGTCCTCGACGTGCTTCGAGCGGAGGACATTGCCGAAACGGAGACGCAGGCACTGCTTCACGTCGACATCTTTTCCGAGCTTCAACGTCGTCAGCACGGCATTTGTGACGCCCAGCGTCGCCCGGCCGGAGGGCCCTCGCAGGCGGATGATGCTGCCGTCGCTGGTGAGCACCTCCGTTTCCGCCTCTTCCACCAGGTTGAAGTGCTCCTCAAAAAGATCGATGATGGAGATGTGGTCGACGAAGGGCAGTTTGAGGATGTAGCCTGGGCCTTTCAGGGGGAGGCGATTGCCGAGGCGGTACGTCAGACAGCGCTGAAGGGAGTTTACTTTCTGGAACAAAAGGAGATGAAACTTTAGTTATCATTCTTTAAATTCTGAACTTCTCTTACCTTGACGCAGAAGAAAGAAGACACCGGTGCTGTAAGGAGAAAGAGGAGAAAAGCCAGCGAGGTGAGGAGGTAGTAGGCGAACTGCTGGACAGGGTCTCCGGTGGTGATCATCTTTTTTGAAGACGCCCCTTCAAAGTGGTCCTCATCGCCGGGAAAGTCTTCGCCGAGGACGCTGCGGTAGTTGAAGGCGGAGGAGTAGTCAAAGGTGGGCACCGGCAGGTATCCCTCCTGGTCCATTGCTGCTCGNATGAAACTTTAGTTATCATTCTTTAAATTCTGAACTTCTCTTACCTTGACGCAGAAGAAAGAAGACACCGGTGCTGTAAGGAGAAAGAGGAGAAAAGCCAGCGAGGTGAGGAGGTAGTAGGCGAACTGCTGGACAGGGTCTCCGGTGGTGATCATCTTTTTTGAAGACGCCCCTTCAAAGTGGTCCTCATCGCCGGGAAAGTCTTCGCCGAGGACGCTGCGGTAGTTGAAGGCGGAGGAGTAGTCAAAGGTGGGCACCGGCAGGTATCCCTCCTGGTCCATTGCTGCTCGTTCTTTCTTTGACAGCTACAAACAGAGTGAAAATGAATCAATTGCCGTTAATTGCCATTGTGTTGTTGTTGAGAAACTCAAATGAGTCAGAGCAGCAACAGCAGAAGCAGCTGAGCACTCCTGACAACAGTTGCCACACCACAGATCAAACTGTCTAAAAATAAACACCGACTGACTGGTCGCCCAGCCTACCACAACCAGAAAGAGAACGAGAGTGGAACACAACATCAAAGATGGCGCCAGAATTCTGGTGATGACCGGTGCTCAGTCAAGAAAGGTTTTGCTTCATGTCAAAAAATAAATCAACAACAAAAATTCAACAAATTCATTATTGCCATCGCCCAGTGCTATTGGCCTCCTTTGTTTGTACTCTTCCGCTCAATCAGCTTCTGCAGGTCGTCCTCCCAGCCGAGCAGCTGCGCCAGCTTCCGACAGCCTGAGTCGGCGTCAGAGCGGAGGAAGACGTTGCGCACGTTGCTCTTCGATTTGAAGTTGAAGCTACTTCCTCCCGCCAGACCGGGAATAAACTTGGACAGCAGATTGCCGCCGCCCTCCGGCTCGGTGAGGTTGATCAGCAGGCGGGGGACGCTGCCGCCGACCATGTCCACGAGGCTGGCAAAGGGCTGGACGGTGAGGGAGGTGCCCATGACGATCAGCAGGTCACACTGGGGAAAGTCGTGCTCAATCAGGGAGTAGAAGCGATCGGGGAGCATCTCGCCGTAGAAGATGATGTCCGGCTTCACGTACGAGCCACAGGAATCGCAGCGGGCAACGTTGTCTTTGCGGTCTTTGAGCAGGACGATTTCTGTAATTGGTGGTGGGAAAAAATGAGAAGTTAGAGAATGCTAAGAAGAAGTCTTCCCCTACTTTTCATCCACTCTAGTGAGTAGGCCTTCCGACAGCGCTTGTTGGTGCAGTGCGCAGTGTTGAAGGTGCCGTGCGCCTCGAGCAGCTTCTCATCAGGTACGCCGGCTATTCGCTCCAGCGAGTCGATGTTCTGCGTGTACAGTCGCAGCAGTTGGCCTTTGTCGTGCAGTAGCCGCATGAAGTAGTGGCAGGGCGTCGGATCAAAGTTTCCTGGGAAGAGCTCACGCGCCAGGTGGAAGAATGGCTTCGGGTTTTTCTGTGGGTTTTTCATTAAATGAAACCATTAAAACTTTGCATCAAAAAGGGAAAAAGGTGCTACTTTACCTGGAAGAAGCCAATGTCAAAGATGGCCTCCGGGTAGGGCAGATTGTACTTCTCCAGCTGACTGAAAAGGCCCGTGTCTGGCGATCGAAAGTCGGGAATGCCCGCCGACGTGGAGATGCCCGCCCCCACCATGAAGATGACCTTCCGACATTTGCCACTCTTGATGTAGTCTGCCACCGCCTCGATGGTCGGCTCCGCTAGGACCGGGCCGGGCTTTTTCGAGTCTTGATGATTGCCTATTATGGTGACGGAGTAAAAAGAAAGCAAAATGTTAGATAAAATGCTCAAAAGCACAAAACACGGGAAATTGTTGCCCTGATAGGGATGTTCGAACCTTTTTTGGGCGTGTGCTTCTCTTTGGCCACCTTTTTCTCAGTTCCATCGTTTTGATCTCTATCTTCAAGGGTCACCTTGCTGAAACTGGCCTCCAGATCGGACGTATCTGTGGAAAGGGGCGCAAAAGATTGGTTTGTGGTTAGATTCGTCGAGGTGGGCCAAGGTAGGTGCTGCGGCGGCTGCATTTGCATTGGGGTGCATCTTAACGATGATGCTGAAATGATGCTGGTGGTAGTGCCCTTCCAACGCTCTCGCCCAAAACACAGATGGAGGGCAAGTCGCAGCGGCGGCGTTGGTACTTTCATGGGTACTATTCGCTTATTTACGAAAAAATTCAGAAAAAAAGATCAAATCAGATCAGAGACCATTGTCTTTGGTTGTGGTTGTGGCTGTGGCAGCAGCATCAACGGCGACTGAAGTGCCTGCCTTCTCTTCCTTCTCCGCAGAATCCTGGTGAGTAGTATCTTCTTCTGAATGAGCAGCAGTAGAAGTAGAAGCACCAGCTGACATCATTGTCTACGGTGTTGTGGGCTGTACTGTCTTTTTGCTTCACCTGAGCGGTGATCAGAGAAACCAATTTAGAAATTCACACAAAAAAATGTCAAAAAGAATCGTTTGAATTCTTTAATAAAATAAAATAAAACCAAAATAAAAGTGCATCAGCTGCTGAAGAAAATGATAAGACGTAGAACAACAGTTCTACAGTGGAACTTTAGCAGCTGTGGACCAAAACAAACAATCGCACAACAATCGGGCGCCTTTTAACGCTCTGACATCGATTAAGTAATCGATTGTTTTTTGCTGGTAAAAAAAGGTAAAAGTTACAGTCTCGCTTTTGTTTTTTCACTTTTTCATTCCACTGAAAATCGATTACCAACGAATGTGTTTCACTCCTTTTTTTGCACTGATTATCAAGGTTATCAAGTTTATTTTTCCTTAGAAAGCTACAGTATTATTGGGTGGAACAAAATAGGTAGGTAAGTGCAACTACTGGTAATCCATGGGAATTATCAGACTCTTGAACTGATCATTTCTTTTGTTGTTGTCGTCCATTTCTAGGTCCAGGTCTACTGGTCTAGTGGTAGTAGGAACTCTTCACCAGTCTTCGCCCATATTAATTGGGAACATCATCAGCTTACACTACCGTTTACAGCTCATTAGCCGAGGGCGGACAAACGCAGGCCTCTTTCTGGGCGTCCTTGTAGGTCTTGCAGCCAAAGGAGAGGATGCCCATTAGCAACAGCTTGGTCGCCGTGTCACAGACTGAAAAAAGTCAAGGAAAATTTTAGTTTGGGTTCCAGAAAACATCATTCCCAACTTACTTGTCAGGTGCTTCGGCTCTTTGCCCTTGGTGATGATGACGCACTGCTTATGCAGACAATCTCGAAAGTCTTTGTCACAGGTCAGCTTGCTGGAGTTGCAGCGGTGGTAACACTGCTGCTGTTGATTGCAGCACAGTTTCATATTCTTCGACGGCAGGTCCTCGTCTTTGATCTGAATGGGACAAAAACCTGAGGTGAAAACTTTCAACAAACCTCTTTCTGTATACCTGAATTCCAAAAGTGCTGCAACCGGTGGGCGTGATGTTGAAACCCTCACGGGGCAGGGCGTCCTGTCCTCGCGGACAGAGAAAGAAGCACTCCTCCTTGTTGGCGTTGTCCACCACCTGATCGGCCCAGGTGTCCACGCTCTGGTGGAGGCCCTCCATGAACTTGGTCAGCTGGCCGTTCATCGTGCCGATGGACTGGGCGAAGCCCTCCAGAAAGGCCACAGTCGGCACCGGTCCTAAGACCGTGCAGACGGCGGCTACCAAAACAAGTCCCTCAGAGTACTTCATTTAGGCTGCTGTGAAATGGTTTGCTGAGTTTTAAAATGGAAATGAGGTCGGTCGGAAAAACTGTGAGACTTGAAACTGCGCCGCGAAGACTTCGACTTTTATTGGGCTCCCCTCATCGCTCCTGGCGACCGACATCGACCCGACTTTTGAGTTGTGTGAAGCTTTGCTGTTCATTTTAAAGTTGAGGAGGTGCGCGCACAGCAGAACAGAACAGTACAGGGCGCCAATCGATTTTGGCGCCGGTTGTTGAGACCATCGTGACTGGTGAGAATTAAGTTTCTCTCGGGAGAATCTTTCAAAGTTCTTTTTGTCCACTTCTGATGAAGTGTCAACTCTAGAACAGAGGCGGCGAATGTACACTATCCAAATCTGTAAGTAACATTAGCTGTCAACTTGTTTGGAGTTTTACAACTCGTCAACCTCAGTTTTTGGATTGCAGTAAAATCAATACGCGTTTGAGCGTTCTCAAGAAGAGAATATTCTTTTATCGAGTTGCTGATTTTCTCTCATTTTCAAAAACCGCTTGGCCGCGCTTGCCACCTACTCTACGAACGTCCCTCAACAGAGCGACGATTGCTGGGCAGCAGAGCCCACTTGGCGCGTTGGCGCCTTTTCATTAGCAACGTCTTACTGGGCAGAGTGAATGCCCCGATTGGGGCAGTGCCGCACAGGTTAGCCTACACTGCTGCACGTGCAGCGGAAGCTTCAGCCTAATTTTCCTCTCTGCTGTTCGGCCTTTTGCTGCTGTCTTTTTGCTGTTGTGCATCGTGTTTTGCCTTCAAAACCACCAAAATGGTAAGTTACCGCGGCCATTCGGGCTCCAAACGGACCAGAAACTTGAAGATGAAGAGTTGACAGTAGACTAACGACCTTTTTCTCCCCGGCACCGTAGACTTCCAAGCGACGAAACGGAGGACGAAGCAAGAAGGGCCGCGGCCACGTGAAGGCTGTCCGATGCACCAACTGCGCCCGATGCGTGCCCAAGGATAAGGCGATCAAGAAGTTTGTCGTGCGAAACATCGTCGAGGCGGCCGCCGTCCGAGATATCACCGAGGCCTCGGTCTACGACTGTAAGTGGGCTGCTGCTTACCGGCAGCGGCTTTGTTATTGTCATCATCAACGTGTGGTTCTAATTTCAACTTTCTAACCCAACTCACAGCGTACCCTCTGCCGAAGCTGTACGCCAAGCTGCACTACTGCGTCTCCTGCGCCATTCACTCGAAGATTGTGCGTAACCGCAGCAAGGAGGACCGCAAGATTCGCACGCCGCCGGCCCGCTTCGGCTCGGCCAAGCCCAACAACCGCGACCAGCAGCAGGGCGGCGCCGGTGCGCGCAATGTACAGAAATAAATAGTGGCAAAGTACCTTTTTCAACAACAACAATAAAAACCGAAAAAACCACTACCAAACTTTGCCTCGGTCAGTTTATTTGGCCTTTTTGTACACACACTGGTCAGCGGGGTCGTCGTCGAATTCTATGTACATCGATGAAGCGGAGTATCTCCGTGCGGTACAGAACCACGAGGAGCAGTAGAAGGGGAAGGAGGAGGTACTGTGCCAGTGATGGGTCGATGACCACCTTTGAATTGCTGGAGCAGCAGTCGCTTGAAGAAGGGGAGATCAGACGGTCCATTGGAGGATGCTTCGTGCTCGCTCGATGCTGTGCTGGTGATTGTCAGACTGTGAGTCCTCCTGGTCTGCGTCGTCGTCCTGTTTAGCTGTGGNTGGAGGATGCTTCGTGCTCGCTCGATGCTGTGCTGGTGATTGTCAGACTGTGAGTCCTCCTGGTCTGCGTCGTCGTCCTGTTTAGCTGTGTCAGAGTTGTTGCTGTCCACGATGGTCTTAGCCTCCTGCTGCAGCCGCTGCAGTGCCAGCGACTTCTGCTCCGTGGACTTGAGGTACTTCAGGAAGGTCTTGAACTTCTTGTCCGATATTTTGCTAGAGTGCTTCCAGTTTTTGAGAAGCCAGATGTGGTTGATCTAAAAAGAAGAGAGTTAGATTTGTCGTGATAACTTCAAAACATCGTTAGAACTTACCTTTTTGAACTTCCACTCGTCTCGATGCCTCTTCCACTGTTTCATGTACGCCAGCGCCTTCTCCTGTTTGCTCTCCTTCGGCTGCTGCTGCTCTTCCAATTTCTCCTTTTGTTGTAGCTTTTTCTGTTGAGCTTTGAACTTTTTCTTCTCCTTGGCGAGCTTCTTCTTCTGCTCCCGTTCCAGTTTGTTCACGTCCTCCAGCACCTGATCTGCCTGCGTTTGTTCGCTTGCCGTAACGCGAACTTCAGTGGTCTCCTTAACGCTTTTGTGAACGCTCTCCTCTTCAGCTTTTCCTTCCTCTTCTTCTAAATGATCCTCGCCCTTCTTGAGAATGCCCTGCAGTTTCTGGCTCTGGTGGTAGCGACCGAGAATCGTCTCGTCTACCATTTGCCGGCGGCCTTTCTTTTTGGGGGACTCCTCGGTTGATGCTTCTGCTGTCTCTGCTGGGGCATCTTCCTCTTCGGGAGTTCTCAGCTTTCGCTTTTTCTGCTTCTTAGTCTCAGAATTAGGAAGTTGTGCCATGAGAAAGTGAAAAACTGTTAACGTGAATTATGGATCACTGGAAGAAAATCGGGAGAATGTTTTGCTGTTGGCAAAAACAAATGTGCACCATGTGCAGTGATTTGCAGCGCCCTTCATAGACTGAATGCTCCTAAAGTCAATCACATGTTTTGCTTCTGGCAAAACAAAGTTTTCTGTTTTCATTTGTGATTTTGAAACAGAGTTTTCAAGATGAGCCTTCTGATAAAGAGTGGCCGGCTTCTGTTGACTCGTAAGTAGAAGTCTCTTTTAAATTCAACAGTAGGTTCATGATAACCTCTTTTCAGGTCAAGTCGGTCTGGCTCTGGCTTCAGCACAGCAGTGTCGCGGCCGCAAGCTATGGCGCACAATGCCGGACTTCTCTCGTAAGTGTTCTACTTCAGTTCTTTCAACCTTCTGAAAACCTAAACCTCAATTTACTCAATAGACATCAAACTGCCACCGGAAGAGGAGCGGGAACTAGTTCAGCTACTGCCGGTGCCCAGCTGGTACGGCATTGAGCCGCGGAAGGCGCCCCGAGACTACAGTCATATGCGAGGGCCGGAGCTGATCAACAACGACCTGGTCTACGGCCAGTTCGGCATCATGGCCGTCACCGGCTGCAACCTGACCATTGACCACCTGAACATGATTCGCACCGTGGTCAACAAGCACATGGACAAGAAGCGGATGTTCGCCGTCTGGCGAGTGGAGGCTCCCTGGAAGCCCATCTCTAAAAAGGTAACCTTTTCTACTTTCTACTTTCCATTTCTAAATGTCTCCTGCTTTTCCTTCTCAGGCCCAAGGCAAACGCATGGGCGGCGGCAAGTCGGCCATTCACCACTACGCGACGCCGATTCGCGCCGGCTCGGTGATCGTCGAACTGGGCGGACACATCGAGCTGGAGGACTGTCAGTTCTTCCTCGAGTCGCTGGCCAAGCGAATGCCCTGCCAGGCGTTCGTCGTCTCGAAGGAGCTGCTGGAGCAGTGGCGCCAGGAGGAGCTGGCCATCGAGCAGCAGAACATCAACCCGCTCTCCTACCAGCGAGTGGTGCAGCAGAACATGTCCGGCTGTCACCGGTGGATCACGCCGTACGACCACCGCTGGTACGGCAAATATACTTAGGATACCACAGCAAACAAAGATTGTACAGTTTTTGCAAATATAAAACACACATTAGTTGAACTTCTAATTTTGAACTCTATTTACAAACTTAAAACCAAACAGCCACCTCATCACACACATTTGCTCTGCTAAACCGAATCGTTTTTAAATGGCTCCACTTAAGGTCCACAAACCGACCGCCGTCATCTTCGACCTGGTGGNAAACACACATTAGTTGAACTTCTAATTTTGAACTCTATTTACAAACTTAATACCACTTGAAACCAAACAGCCATCTCATCACACACATTTGCTCTGCTAAACCGAATCGTTTTTAAATGGCTCCACTTAAGGTCCACAAACCGACCGCCGTCATCTTCGACCTGGTGGCCACCGCCACCAAGTCCTTCTTCATCGACCAGATCCTCTTCCCGTACATCAAGAAGCACGCTAAGCAGTACCTGGTGGACAACTGGAAGAACGAGGTAGTCCAGCACGACGTCACTCTACTTCGAAAATCCTCCAAGAAAGACGACTCGGCGCCCAAGGTGGCCGAACCGGATGAGGAGCCCTCGAAGGTCCAGGANGCCACCGCCACCAAGTCCTTCTTCATCGACCAGATCCTCTTCCCGTACATAAAGAAACACGCCAAGCAATACTTGGTGGACAACTGGAAGAACGAGGTAGTCCAGCACGACGTCACTCTACTTCGAAAATCCTCCAAGAAGGATGACTCGGCGCCCAAAGTCGCCGAACCGGATGAGGAACCTTCCAAGGTCCAGGAGAGCGTCTACCAGTACGTGATGCACTGCATCGACCACAAGAAGGACAACGAGGGCATGACGCTCTTCCGCTTCCACGTCATCTTCGACGGCTACGCGAAGAACCGCCTGGAGACGCCGCTCTACACCGACGTGGCCGTGCAGATGCACCACTGGGTGGCGGAGGACAAGGTGAAGCTGTACCTCTTCAGCAACGGCTGGAAGGAGGCCACCAAGCGCTACCTGGAGAAGACCAGCAAGGGCGACGTGAATCTCCTCATCACCGACATCTTTGACGCCGCCGACGAGGGTCCCCTAACCGATTCGAACACCTTCAAGAAGATCGCCCACAAGATCAAGCTCCCGCCCGATGAGGTGCTCTTCCTCACCCACAGCGGAAAGGAGGGCCTGGCGGCGAAGAAGGCGGGCGTGGGCGCCATTCTGGTCAAAACACACCGCCGAGACGTGTTCAAGCTGTCGGCGGAGGAGAAGAAGGCGCTGCCCTACGTCCGCTCCTTCAATGAGATTGTCTTTACGAGCAGTGCTCCAAAGGCGCACAAGCTCAACGGCAGCTCGGTGGCCGAGGAGGAGAAGGAGGAGAAGGAGAAAGAGAAGAGCAAGAAGACTCTAAGTAGTTCGGGTCTGAAGAAGAGCACCTCGGGCACCTCGCTCAAGAAGAAAAAGAGCTCAAAGAGCTCGCTGTCGAAAAAGAAGAGCCACTCGAGCTTGGGTCCTAGCTCGAGTGGCTCCAGCAGTAGCAGCGGCGGAGGCCTAACTGGAGCCACCATTGAGGTTAGAATAATCAAGCTGGATCATATCGGCGTCGGTGGTGGTCCAAAGACTGCGTCCCAAAGCAAAAGTAATGACCACATCAAGAGCAGCAGCAATGGTTCAGCTGCCCCGTCAAAATCGGCCTCAAAGCTGAGCAACAAATCGCACAAGTCTGTTAGTGGCAAAAGTGGAAGTGCCACTCACTCGATGCTCGGTCCCGCCGCCACCGGGGGCTCAAAGACTTCGCTGACTTCGAAGACACCTTCAGCTACTTCAAAGGCACCTTCAGCTTCCTCCAAGGCTCCCTCCAAGACGTCACCTGACCTTGGTGGCGGCGGTGGATCAAAAACTTCGCTTGGGGGCGCCTCCAAGGTCGCCTCTAAAGCTTTGTCGCCCGATGCGGCTGATGGCAAATCGGGTGCCAAATCTTCGGCCGCTCCCAAATCGTCCAAGCTGCCCTCAGCTTCGGCTTTGGCTTCTGCTGGCCATTCCAAAACTAAATAGAACCTGTTCTGGAATGAGATTTACACCTTTTACCTCAGCTGAAACCCACACACAATCTTATCTCTACAAAAACATTCACCATTTCTGACTTTAAAATGCATAAGTCACCGACTGTCCTCCAGAGGGCGCCACCTGTAGAGGCAGAGCAGCGCAGCGAAAGAAGTGCCGCTGCTCACGAGTTTGCGTCGTTGAGTCGTTGAGCTGCTGCTGAGAACGCGCGCTCGCTCACTCGCCGCCGCTGAGCAGCTTTTGCGTTTTGGCTCGGCTCAGGCAGCACCGCACCGCCGCTTCGCTTCGCAGCAGTCCACCGTCACGTTGCGTCAGGACTTGCCCGATTCAGCGATTTTGAGTTTGCTTTTCATAGCAAAGGTGACCAAATTTTCAAATCCCTTCCCACTGGAGCGGGGACCACCCCGAACCGCCGAAGCCACCAGCAGCTGACTGTCGTGAACGCCCACACCACTCCACCCGGTAAGTGACCGTCTTCTAACAGGGCAATCTGATCCTCTAGCGCTGCCTGAGCCTCCCTTTCGGCCGCTTACCCACTCGCCGCCGACCTGCACTTGCACTGCATTGCCAATCACTGCCTAGCACTTTTGCGCCTTTTCGGGTACCTTCAGGGCCCCGGCGTGTCCCTGGACCGATATTCGGCGCTTGACAGCGCTTCTAGGGCGTCAAGGCCGCTGCTTGGAGCCGCTAGCCTCGTCCCGGCCGTTGGCTGTGCCGCTAGCAGCGGGCGCGCAACCACAGCGTCCGTTCGGGCACCACTCGTAAAGTACATGCTCGGTAATGGCTGCCTTTCTCTCCCTTTGTGCTCTCGCTACATTCAACCGCTGTTGTGCTGTAGCCGCTGCGGCTGTTACTTCAGCTTCACGTTGCGTTGACTTGCCGCCGCTCTTCTACCGCTACTACTTTTTGCTGTTATCATAACGTTCATTTGGTGTTGATCACAACATCATCATCATCATCTCGTTATCTTTGTATCTTCTTCTATTACAGTGTCTCCTCTAGGCATCGCTGCCATCTGCACCACCACTACCGCCACCACTGATCATGACTCGAGGACGAAAGCGAAAGGCCGTGGATACGAAGCCTCGCGAGGAGGCTGTTGACAAGCAAGAAGCTGAGGAGAAACAGCAGCCGACCGAAGACGTACCTGCGTCACCTGAGAATAAACGAGGTAAGCGAAGTGTAAACAAAGATGTAAACAGCAGTTTTTAATCTTCGTGTACTCTCCTCCTCACTTGGCAACTCTAGGGAACCTTCGACGCCGCGATACACTGCGGGCCAACAAGCGCTACTCACCTCCACCACCGGCGCCAAAGCGATCACGCGGCACGAACCGTCTCTCCTTTCCCTCCACCAGTCACTCTAATCATTCGTTCAATGCCGGAGTCAATGACGCCACTGAAGATGCCTCCTCATCGTCCACACCGACAGCAACTCCTTCAACAGCAAAGTCCACCAGTGACACTGTGTCGTCGGCCGCCTCCACTGCAACCGGCTCCGGCCGAAGAAAGTCTCTGGGCCTGCGAAAGACAGACGCCAGTGCCTCCGCCTCTGCCACTACTGTCACTACGGTGGAGAACATTGAAATATCGAAGAAGGAAGGGGACCAAATTGTCCTCCAACTGAAGGATGGAACACAGCAAAGTGTAAGTGTTTGTTTTCAGTGTTTTGGTATTTGACTAACTGTCATTGTCATTGCCATTTTCAGATTCAACTACCGAAGAGTAATGCCGTTGCTAAGGAGGATGAGGGCGAGGCGCCGGCAGCGAAGGACAATGATCCGGACTACAAGCCGGCTCCTCGATCCTCGGGCCGGCGAAAGTCGGAGCTACCATCAACAGCCACCACTGTTACCTCAGCCACTGCTACCGAGACCGTTACCATCACCACCACCGGCGGCAGTGGTGACCCTCACAAGACGCCCCGCGTCTCCAACCTCACCACCGTCAAGCTGACCAGTCAGTCTGGGTCGCTGTCGCTGAGCAAGGCCAACGTCATTGCGGCAACCTCGTCGGTGAACAAAAGCCACATCGTCTCCAATGCTTCGGCCATGAGCAAGGCCAATCTTCCCGCCATTCTCAAGCCGGCCAGCGCACCAAACACGCCTCTTGCCGGCGGGCTGGTGCTGAAGAGCGCCACCGCTGCGACCTCCAACCGCCGCCAAGGGGGCACCAATCAGATGGGCAAGTACATTGACAACCTCCCCGAGGTGGTCGACTGCATCAACGCGGACAACATTGACGACAAGAACATGGCAAAGCTGCCCGACCGTATCATGCTGGTCAACTCGGAGCTGCCGCTGCACCTTTCCGTCGACCTTGATAACGCCCACAAGGACTATCTCTTTTTGTAAGTACTTGTTTGTTTGTAGATTTGCTTTGATGTTAATGTCATTCATCGTTTAGGCAAATCATATCACCGGTGCAGTCGAACCGCTTCATCTGCCTGCTGTGCAAGGGCATCGACGTCAACTTCTCCACGAAGGAGGAGAAGGACATTCTCCTGCACTACCAGTCGCTGCACGAGCTGGACGTGGACATTGGCCAGGCAAAGTTCTCCGAGGAGACCGTCTTCATCTGTCTGCCGAAGATGGTGCTCTCGCAGCTGGACGGCTCCCAAAATTCCCTCTCCCTCAACTCGGCCTGTCAGTACTGTGAGTCGCGCCTGAACGACATACCCGACATGAAGAACCACTACAGGCAGGAGCACCAAAAAGAGGTGAGTTACTGCTTTGATCAGTGTCTAGTCTGTGTCCATTTGCTTACCGTTCTCTTCCCCCTTTCACACTAGGTCATCCTGATGGAGCAGGAGGAGATCATGAAGATGCACCACAACTTCTACTGTCACAAGTGCAAGCACTCCTCGGCGGACTTTGACTCGCACCACAAGCACATGAAGGAGAACCACCAGCTGAAGACCTACCGCTGCAAGTCCTGCGTCCTCGTCACCCAGGACGAAAGTCGCCTGCGCACCCACTACAAGGCGAAGCACATGCTGCACACCTCGGGCCAGAACTACAGCTGCTTCTACTGCCACGGGCTGCTGATTGGCGTGGAGCGCCTGCTGAAGCACATTCAGCAGGCGCACATGGTGCAGACGGGCACTGACTTTAGCTGCATCAGCTGCATGCAGCAGTGCGGCCGCGGCAAGGACCTGCTGAACCACGCGGAGCGCTGCTCGCTGGCCGGCATCAAGCCGGAGCAGCACAACTTCCACTACGTCAACCCGATGCCCGACCCGAGGCCGCCAGCGGAGGGCGAGGTCGACTGCTACTTCTGCTCGGTCCGCCTGGAGAGTCAGGAGGTCTACGAGCTGCACCTCCACCACGAGCACATGAAGTGGATCAGCAAGGCGGCGTCGCCGGTGGAGAAGAAGGAGGAGGAGGAAGAGGAGGGCGAGAATGGCGTCGGCAGCAGCAGCACCGGCAGCACCACCCAGAAGCTGCTCACCATCAACGACGTCATCTCGGAGGAGGATGTGGAGCGGGCGCAGATTAAGACCTACGTGGGCCACTGGTGCCGCCTCTGCGACCAGATGATCAAANCCGAGGCCGCCAGCGGAGGGCGAGGTCGACTGCTACTTCTGCTCGGTCCGCCTGGAGAGTCAGGAGGTCTACGAGCTGCACCTCCACCACGAGCACATGAAGTGGATCAGCAAGGCGGCGTCGCCGGTGGAGAAGAAGGAGGAGGAGGAAGAGGAGGGCGAGAATGGCGTCGGCAGCAGCAGCACCGGCAGCACCACCCAGAAGCTGCTCACCATCAACGACGTCATTTCGGAGGAGGATGTGGAGCGGGCGCAGATTAAGACCTACGTGGGCCACTGGTGCCGCCTCTGCGACCAGATGATCAAGGTCTATCCGCTGTACTACCTGCACATGGTCAACTACCACAACAATGAGAAGAAGTTTGAGTGCATCGTCACCAACTGCAAGCAGCACTTTACGGACTTTGAGGCGTTTAAGGTAACTCCTTTTTTGTTAATTAACTTGTCGCTGAAACTAACTTTTACATCCTTTTTCCTTTCTGCCCACCAGAACCACATTGAGGTGGAGGATCACTCGCAGAAGTCCGTCATCTCCCATCCGGACGAGGTGTCGGTGTGCACCTACTGCGACATTTACTTTGCCAGCGAGGAGGCGCTGGTGAATCACCTGATCACCGATGCCCACATCAACAAGTTCACCTCTTCGGGGCACTTTCACCGGACGGAGCCGCGCAACTTCAAGTGCAAGGCCTGTCACACCTTCTTCGGCATGAAGGAGTCCTACATTCACCACCTGGAGACGGAGGACCACAAGTACATGTGTCACTACTGTGGCATTACCACGGCTACGCCAAGTAAGGCATCATTGTTGACCAGTTGTAATGATTTTACCTAATCATATCATCTTTTTTAGGCGCTCGACGAGCCCACGTGCAGAACACGCACCCGGAGCGGCTGAGTTTCTGCGAGGAGTGCGCCGAGCAGCACACCGACATCATGGCGCACTTTGTCAGCCACGGCTTCACCTTTGACTGTCAGAAGTGCGTCAAGAAGTTCTACAATCGCGAGCGCCTGAACGCCCACATGGAGGTGCACCTCGATGCGATTCAGTGCAACTGGCCGGGATGCAATCGGATGATTGCCACGCGCTCCATGCTCGTCACGCACTACCGCGGCCACAAGAGCGAGCACAAGTGCAACATCTGTGGTCAAGGTAACGGCCTATTGAAATGAGTGTTTTGAGTCAAGTTTGTTAACCACTTTTTTCA